AGGAGACGACGAATTAGTTAGCGGTCGTCGTTCAACTACAGTGCCTTAAATGCGGCCTGGGAGAGGGGGGGGCGACCGTTGGATCGATGACGTCAGCAGTTGCAAAATGCCGGACGACTCGGTGTCATGCGACGCGGATAATGCGGTAGCTAATTGCCACCGACTCCGACGTTTTGTCGCACGACCAAGTCTGTAATGAGCTCTGAGCCTCATGTCGATTGTCGACCTCCTTTGACGACCGTCCGTCAGTTAATTGCACCTCGCGCTTCGAAAACTCCAAGTCTAATGAAGGGGTGCAAAACACCTCGTCGTCGTCGCTTCCCGGTCGAAGCCGCACAATCAACAGCCCTACTCGATTACTTTCCTTCTGGCGTCACGAACCACGTTTTCCACGGTTGCTCAAACGATTTATTCATACGACGTCATTGCGCAGCATCCGTCCATCTCCCACGAAAGTATGCCGTTCACGAAACACCTGATTTCAAGAACGGACAGGAAAGTTCGCCTCCGTTGGAATATCGGTCTCCCTAGGCTTTCCCGATAAAGTTATTTTCTCTCTTCTTTTCAAGGAGTTAATCGGGTGTGGGGCACTGACCTCAGTTTCCATGCCATTAGCTAAGAACGCTTTATTTTAAAGACTGAGTTGACAGCAGCCAAGTGGCAAGCATAAGGGGTAGCCTCTTGCTTCCGTCTTATAGAGTGACATCGATTTAGCTGTCAGTCTCTACAGGAATAAATGCTGCTAACCGGTTGTCGAACCCGGACCCTCTCGGTGCTGAGTCCAACACTCTACCATCTGAGCAGTCCAGGTGTAAAGCAACGTGTAATAAACTCTTACTCAAGGAGATTCGTGGTTAAGACAACGAAAGACGTACTGTTTAAAATCGTTCACTCCTCGATGAACGATTACCAGATGTGTTCAACGAACATTATCAAGCGGAAGAAAATATCATGTAATGGAACCGTTGCCTAAGTCCCCCCCCCCCCACTCTCATTTGAAAAGCGTAGGGTTTGCTTGTTTAAG